AATAGGTTGACATTTTCTAGAGATTGAGGTATGTATGCGACGATGCACAATTTATAACAACCGTATTGAGCCGTACTCTTAACTTGGATATTATTCTTTCTCGAAGAAAATAAAGAGGTAGGAATTATGGCCGATCAACCGGAGTGGAAGCCTGTTGTGCAAAAAATAGTCAAGGAACTCGAACAGGCATTCGACGTGCTGCAGAAAACCTGGGAAGGCATTGGATGTACCAGGGATATGCGATCGACATACTATGACCAAGCGCATAGTCACGTAAAGGAATTGTTAAACGACATGGTTGCTGAGGCACAGTCAAAGCAGCAGCTGTTGTTTGCTAACATACAGGATCTCTTTAAACAAACAACGTCATTGTATGCAGAATTGCAAATGGAGGTGATACCTAAAACGTATGATCATGTCCCTTTGTGCAAAGTCGAACAAATTCTTCAAACAGATTTACAAAATTTAGAGTGCATAAAGAAAGAACGTATTGTAATCCTCAAGGAATTATTGTCGAAGGAACAAGAAATTTGTAAGAAGCTCGGCTGCAAAGCGTTAAACATAGTCGAGGATGTTGTACCTACAGAACAAGATCTTGAGAGTTTTAAACTTTATCTACAAAAGCAAGAGATTGAAAAGACACATTTGGAGAATGTTTTTACAGATATACGTCGTTCCATAATCAAAATGATGAATGATTTGGAAATATCTCCATCTTCGCCATTTATAGAGTTAATCTGCAACAATCCTGAAGAGTTTGTGCTGAATACGAACAATATGACAAAACTGAAAGAGTACAAGGATGAATTGAGTATGCAGATAGAAGATACAAAGTGCTGCGTCGAAAAAATGAAGGAAGATTTATTGGCATTATGGAAATATCTCGACGAACCTGATGATGTTTGTCAATCATTTCTTGAAAGACATCCTGGATACAACACTAATACTGTAACTGGTCTTGCAGCAGAAATAAAGCGATGTAAGGAAAAAAGAAAAGAGAACATCCTCAAGTATGTCACACAGATTAGATATGAACTACTGAATTTATGGGACTTGTGCAAATATTGTGAAGCAGAAAGAAACACATTTGCACCATTTTTTTCTAACACATTCACAGAGGATTTGTTGTCATTGCACGAGTTAGAAGTGGAGAGACTGCGCAAATTTTATAACGATAATCGAACGATATTTGAGCTTCTAGAACAACGCGAAAATTTGATAACGAAAGTTAAGGATTTGCTTCAGCGAGCAAACAATCCCGATCGCTATCACAATCGCGGGGGCCAATTGTTGATGGAAGAAAAAGAACGCAATGCTATACAAAGGAAGTTACCCAAAATAGAAGCAGAACTGAGGAAATTGATTAAGGATTACGAAACTAATCATAATCAGATGTTTACTATTTATGGCACATCGTTGGAAAATGTTTTAGCAGAGAGTTGGGAAAGTGTCACTCTCGAGAGGGAGTCGAAAAAGAAAGCAAGAAAAGAAGCAAAAGATAAATCAATCAAGAAATCGCCTTTAAATAGTTCTAAGCGAACGCCAGGTATGTTGAGCGTTCACAGAGGGCCAGTACTAGGGTTATCGAAACGCAAACTGTTCAGCCCATCTCCCAATTCGTCGTTAAAACGCAGAAATAAAAACGGCGACAAGAATAAGCCTACTATCACTGTATCCAAGATCAGAAGGAGCGGAAGACTTCCAAAGATTGGTCAAAAATCAGGCAGATCTTCCAAAGGCGGACAGAAAAGAAAGGAATCGCAGTCACCTGTTAATAGTGTCACAGATACGACATATAATCAGTTTCAGGGCCATATGACGGACAGAGAGGAATTACACAGCTCAATGTTGCCAGAACAGATACTAAGGAGTGCTAATAGACTCAATATCAACAAGACACCAGTACGAACGCCTATGAAACCATTGAGGAAACATCTTTCTGCCACAACAACACCATCTTTCACTCCTCTCTCTGCACGCAAAACACCACACAGCCCCAGAGTCATTAACACCCCGAAACTAGCGACGGCCCCGAGTAACTTGCCTTTCATCTTTTAAACGAGATCGAAATAATATATTTTTTTTATATTATGACATAATAAAGCAAAACTGCATTGTTTAATGGTCTATAATGAGCGATAAGTAATAATTAATATACATTCAGTTTATTATCATAACCATACAATAATAAAATTGTGATTTCGTTGAGGATGAATACGTTCGGAAGTTTGTAATGTTAACTTAATATGAATTATATATAATACATAAAACTAGTTAAAAATTTGTGCACATTTATTGAACTGTTATTTTCAAAGCCTTTAACTTGGAATATTTTAATTTTCAATTTTCAGAGTCCTTTAATAATTATATACAATTAAATAATAAAAAATGTATTGACTTAGGGGGCTCTATTCTGTAATTCTTAATGACTGCAACAATATCGTTATAGTGTCATTGCGCAGATTTTGTATACAGTAAAAAAGCTGCGCAACGACAATTTAACGATTGTTAAAGCCATTAGGAGTTACAGAATAGGCTCTTTAATCTTCCTCACTTTGTAATATTTATATCAATTTGTTCACATAAACAAGTCATGAAAATTAATACAATTTGTGAACAATTTTTTAATGTATGATTTATTCCTAAAATGCGGTCATTTTTCTTACCAAGGTCATGTTAGCATTGACAGATAGTACTTGTAAAAAAATAGAATATTCACTCGATCAGCATCAAACTGTCACTGCTATAAAATTTTATAATCAATTCTTCGTTGGTGAGTTTTACTCGTTAAGTAAAAAATTAAATAAGTAAGTTAAAAAGTCTATCTATTGTTGTATGATTATGACAATAAATTGAATGTATATTAATCATTACTTGTTATTGCTCATTATAGGCTATTAAATAATATAATTTTGCTTTGTAGGCATCTCGAGAGTCTGTTTACTTTGTAGATTAATGACATAGTAAACTTTATCGCTTGCGAGAATGACTTGACAAATTTTACGAAATTCTTTTTTCCAATCGTGCGAAAGATTCGAATCTCAAATTTTATCATATGTAAAATACGGTACAAATAGGAATTGATATATATTACTGCTTGGTGATATTGGAATGCAAAAATCTATTAAATTGCTTCCAACATAGTTGAAAGTACAATCAAGATTAGAAATTAATAACGTACTCGTTAAAAGGAAAAAAAAAACATTACTTATAATAGCTTTCCTTTCACCGAACAGAAGTGTAGTTCGATGCAATTTTTATTCGCAGCTGTAGTTAAGTATTAAGTAGATTATAGGTTTTACTATTGTCGCACATATCTACGTTTTATTAATAAGTTAGTGTTGTACAAACATTTTTTCATAAATTTTTAAATACTCGTAAGTGCGAATAATATTTTTGTGACATACGGAAAAGACTTGATAAGATCTTTGCACATTTCTAACGTAAATACTTTTATGATGTACGTAAATTTAATTTCTAATATAACTATTTCGAAATGTATTAAATAATTATATTTTTAAGAGGATTATTTTAAAAATATATTTTATTAAACTATAAAAAAATTTCGTCTCTTAACAAAACTTGTGTTATTACTTGCTGCAGTAACATTAGAATGAACAGTTAATTAAAATTAATTATAGTGAATAAGTATTTAATAATTTTTAAACAAAAAATTTTGAATTGTTAAATTAATATGTATTTTTTCAAAATGTACAATCAAATGAAAAAAAGTACAATAAAAATACGTAAAAATTAATTAAAACTGTTGCATTCAAGTATGATATTTGATTAAAACAGTAAAATTTATATTTCCATAAACATTAACTATTTAAAATATATAAGATTAGAGATTAGATTAGATTAGATTTATCATGTTTTTATATGACGTTGACAAATTGAATTGAAAGATGTCTGTGGCGCACTCTAGGATTATTCATGGGGACTGGTTGGATTGATTGGAATTCATTCGAAAGGCGGGGTTGAAAGTACAATATAAAAAGTGTAAAAGGATTTGAGTGTATGGGCTCTTGTTTAAGAGATATTTGCGTGTGAAATTAGACAAATAGCCTGCTGCGCGGTAAGTACTGTGACTAAGTAAAGGTAAATCAAGAAGCGCGAGGAGCCTTAGGCCGGATTCATACCTTGACGGAAAGCGGAAAAGCGAAAGCCAATCAGAACTCGCGAAAAGACAGAAGCAGACAAGCGAAATGTACCTACTACTATTCGCTACTATTGGCTGCTAAGCATCTAAAGATAAATTTAAGAAAGCCTTAAGTACAAGACTATGAATACAGGCATAAGAGTAAATTTTTAGATTTGAGTTGCTCAAACCGCCTGTTACAGCGACAAAAATGATCACGTCAAAATTGACGAATGATAGTCGTCAATTTCCTTAAATTTATCTTTAGATGCTCAGCAGCCAATGAAATAATTCGTACAGTATCTGAAGATAAATTTAAGGAAATCTTAAATATAAAGGCCATTGGTCATATCGTAGACGTCACAAGCTTGTTGCTTCAGCCAATCTGATGCTTCAATTTTAAAGTCGCATGATACTTTCGACGCTACGATACGATCAATGAAGAATGGCTTTAAGGCCTGACTACGAATATTAGTTTCTTACGACATTGACCTAGTTTCCGCCGAGAATTTAATCCGGATCAGAATATAAGAACCAATCAACTACAGTCGAGCATTCCCCTGTCATTCGACTGTAACAGGGGAATACTCAACTGGAATTGGTTGGTTCTTACATTCTAATCCGGATTAAATCCTCAGTGGAAACTAGGCCAATATTATTTCTTCTATCATGGGTATAGGGCACATTCCAATTTGTATTTTACAATATATTTCGTATCATTTCCTAGATATATTTCACGTTCTAAATGCTTTGGTATACTTTGATTGGTCAATTCATATAATCCTTTCTGCTGATTGGTCAACGAAGTATTTGCAACGTAAGTGAATCGCCTCTTACGTTAAGTTAGGTTAAATTAACTTTCTCGACATTTTGCTGGTTTCGTGTCTAGTTTTATCATCGCTCTTTTAGAAATATAAGCGAAAAATACGAGACGGTTACTTTATTAACATTTACTATTTCTTCATATACAACAAAAGAACGTTAACATCTAAGAATAGTAACGAAAGGTTCGAAAAATGGGCGATATAAAATCCTTCTTCCACCAATGGTGTGCGAAGAACGGCAAAGAACCGCAATTTGATGTTAGACCAACAGGTAAATATATCTGTCGATTTTATTCCGTTCAAATTAATCGAAATGGATTGTATGGATTATTTATGTTTCGCAGGACCGAAGCACAGACAACGTTTCCTCTGCGAATTACGAATACCTGGCTTCGACTATGTTGGCGCAGGAAATTCGACTAACAAGAAGGACGCGCAAGGAAATGCTGCGAGAGATTATGTCAACTATTTAGTACGTACGAATCGCGTGAATCCAAACGATGTACCGAAAGATGCTGGAATACCGACGATGACACCAGATGCTATTAAAATCGAAGTTTCAACACCAATAAAATCAGTGTTTCAAGGAGGCATGGGACCAAATGACATTGGTCAAGCATATAGACCGTACAATGAACGTGGCCAGAGTAATCATACATACATGTATAGGCTGGCTGATCAAAAGAAAGTGGAAGATGCTGAGGATGTTGACGTAAACTCTGGGATACACGGGAACTGGACGATAGAAAATGCCAAGTCCAAGCTACATCAGTTTATGCAAACTAACAAAATTAATGCAGATTACAAATATACTCCGGTCGGTCCGGATCATACGAGGTATGGAGTCTTGCAAATGGACTTTTTCTAGAACATTGGAATGGCATTGCAATGCAGTGCATAGTTCAATTTATATGTTTTATTATTATGAACAATTGCTTGCTGATTGTTGTACCATTTGAGATTTAACAAGGCCATTTTGGAGTATATTGCTCACTTATATCTAAAGCTGGTGCAAAAGAGTCGACGATGACTCTCTTCTGCACAAATGATAAATGCGTTAAACCAAAACTTTTATTAAAATGATTTAATAATGGTTTTGGTGCAACATAAAGAAACTTTCTTCAATGTACTCCAATGTGGTCATCTGTGACATCTTCAAATGGTGAGTCATTATTCATTGTAATTAATTGAGGGAATAAGTGAAACAAAAAGTTTACCTTTGATATAGATGTTTATCACAAGAAATGTAATTATTTTGTATGCCATTATTTTGACAAATTTTATAAGAAATTATAACAATATAACAGTAAAGTAATTATTACTTATATTGATATTATATTTACTTATTTTTCAATAAGTAAAATTAATATACAAAAATTATTTTTTAGTTTAAATTTATTTTTTATATTAATAATTTTTTCAATATACAGTAAATATCTTATTCAGTTATTTAAAATATTTTTGTATATTCAAATTGTGTTAATTATGTATGTTTCTTTCACATTGTTCCCTTAATTATTAATTATATTAATAATGTATAATACATTTTATATTATCTATAACAGACATTATTTTTCACAGGAGTTTTATGGCAGAAATGTCACTTTATATTAAACAACTTGGACGAAGTATGTTAATTTTTATTATATTTATTTAAATACATTTAACTGTATTACGTAAGAATGTGATAATTCTCTTAATATTTTAATATTTCAGCTATAACTGGCCGCGAAACTGGATCAAACAAACAAACAGCTTCAAAAAGCTGTGCTTTATCTATTGTTCGCCAACTATATCATCTAGGAATGAAATGTTCAAAATATAGTCAATTACAACAGAAGATAATAATAAAACTGCACCAAAAGACGACAAAGATACATTAACTGCTGGCGTATCTTTGCTAACGAATCAAGTTTTGGACGACTTCATATCTTCCGTACCGCAACCTGCCGGTGTCGTAAGCTGGTCACCACCTCAGCCAAATTGGAATCCGTGGACTGGATGTAATATAGATGAGGGACCATTGGCAACAACATCTCTGGATCAGTTGTCAGAAGATTTAATGAACGAACAGCGAGAAAAGCTGCAGCAGGACTCTAATTTGCAGGCAAGCATCAAAGAAAGATCAAGTCTCCCCGTTTTCAACAAAAAAAGCGAGATCATGAATGCAATTAATGAAAATCCAATCATTATCATACGTGGAAATACGGGATGTGGTAAGACTACACAGGTTTGCCAGTTCATTCTGGACGATTATATCGCATCCGGCCAAGGTGCATATTGCAGTATAGTTGTCACTCAACCCAGAAGAATCTCCGCCGTTTCTGTGGCTGACCGAGTCGCCGCCGAGAGATGCGAGGCTTTGGGACAGTCGATTGGATATTCCGTGAGGTTTGAGTCGTACTTACCGAGACCCTATGCCAGTATAATGTTTTGCACTATTGGTGTACTCTTGAGAAAGCTGGAGGGTGGCCTTAGAGGCGTATCGCACGTTATAGTTGATGAAATTCATGAGCGAGATGTCAATTCAGATTTTATTATGGTGGTGCTCAGAGATATGATACATCTCTATCCTGATCTCAGAATCATTCTCATGTCTGCTACAATTGATACAACATTGTTCAGCGAGTATTTCAACAAATGTCCTGTGGTGGAGATTCCTGGCAGAGCGTATCCCGTTCAGCAATATTTCTTGGAGGACTGTATACAGCTGACGAATTTTTTTCCACCTACAAGTTCCGGAAAACGTAAATCTAAGGAAGCAGACGATTTGCCAATACCAGACGCAGAACCAGAAGAAAATCTGAATAAAGTCATCGGCAATAATTATTCTATCGAAACAAAGAACGCTATGGGACAGCTGACAGAGAAAGAGATAAGCTTTGAGTTAATAGAGGCGCTTCTTATGTATATTAAAAGACAGGATATTCCAGGTGCTGTGCTGATTTTCCTTCCTGGATGGAATTTGATATTCGCATTGATGAAACACCTTCAGCAACATTCTCTTTTTGGCGGATCGTCTTATCTCATTATCCCACTACATTCGCAATTACCGAGAGAAGATCAGCGTAAAGTTTTTGATCCTGTCCCGTCATTTGTAACGAAGATTATTTTATCCACAAATATTGCAGAAACTTCAATCACGATCAACGATGTCGTCTACGTTATAGATTCTTGTAAGGCCAAAATGAAGTTATTTACTTCGCACAATAATATGACTAATTACGCAACTGTTTGGGCCAGTAAAACGAATCTCGAACAACGCAAAGGTAGAGCAGGTCGCGTTAGGCCTGGCTTCTGTTTCCATCTATGCTCAAAAGCCCGATTCAATAAGATGGATGAACACATGACGCCAGAAATGTTCAGGACGCCTCTGCACGAATTGGCGTTGAGTATCAAGCTATTAAGATTAGGCAATATCGGTCAATTCTTATCAAAGGCAATTGAGCCGCCTCCTATTGATGCTGTGATTGAAGCGGAAGTTGTATTAAGAGGTACATATCTTTTATCATTTTCTTTTCCTGTAATTAATTAATTTCTAAGACTTTGTATTTCTATGCACGCAGAAATGAAATGCTTGGATAAAAACGATGAATTAACGCCTCTTGGCAAGATTTTGGCGCGTTTACCTATAGAACCGCGGTTGGGAAAAATGATGATCCTAGGATGTATGTTTCGTGTGGGCGACGCGCTCTCGACGATGGCCGCAAATAGTACCACTTTCCCCGAGGTATACAACATGGGTCCGGATGTGAAAAGATTGACTGCTCAACAAAAGTGGTTTGCCGGTGCTAGATTCAGTGACCATGTCGCAATGTTTCATGCTTTTCAAGCATGGGAAGAAGCGAGAACAGGTGGTGAATGGGCAGAACAAACGTTCTGTGATTCAAAGAGCCTGAGTCTACCAACTTTACGAATTACCTGGGAAGCTAAGGTCGGTAGAATTGCGATGTGGCTAGCATAAATCCTTATATACTCGTGATAATGACTTATTATTCCATATGTATAGAATCAACTACAAGCGCTATTGCAAAGCGCTGGTTTTCCCGAGGAGACTCTGTGCCCCATGCCACTAAATTATCAAGCAGGTGCGGATCCGCGTCTCGACACCATTACTGCACTGTTGTGCATGGGTCTGTACCCCAATGTGTGCTATCATAAGGAGAAGCGGAAAGTTCTCACCACAGAATCGAAGGCTGCGCTGATTCATAAGACATCGGTGAATTGCAGTAACTTCGAACAAAACTTTCCATTCCCGTTCTTCGTGTTTGGTGAAAAGGTATTTAGACAGCACAATATTCAGAATGAGATATAAGATATTTTATGTTTTAATTTTGGATATGTGTGCTGTATGGATAATATGAACATTTCTCTCTCTCTCTCTCACGATAATTCTTCTCTTGTTTCATTAGATTCGCACGAGAGCTGTATCTTGCAAGCAAATGACTATGGTGTCGCCTATACATCTATTACTGTTTGGGTCACGTAAAGTAGAATACGTGGATGGCGTGATTAAACTGGACAACTGGATCAACTTGGATATGGATCCGCAACATGCAGCAGCTATCGTTGCTCTGAGACCAGCTTTAGAAAGTCTTGTAGTTAGGGCATCCAAGGATCCAGAAACAATTCTAGAGTTGAGTCCGACTGAAGAAAAGGTATAAATCAAACTTGAAATTTTAAGATGTATTTACATCAAGACACATTATCGTAAAAGATTTGTCATTTTTCTATTAAATTTTGTATTGAAACTTCTGGCTAGTACTAAGATTATAATGTCAGAAATGAAAAAATAAACATTCTTGCAAGAAATATATTAAAATAGAAATATTTTATAGACTAGAAGTCTTCAATAAGATCCAGAGTTCTTAAAAGATTTGAAAAATTTTTGAATAAGCAAAAAATATTTTTAGTTACAATAAAATATATTGAAACCATTAATGACAATTTTGCTTTAATTTTACTGCTATTTTTATATAGAATTTTATTTTACAAATATGACATCTTTTGTGCATTAACTTAATATCTTTTTTATTATACTTAGAAAAAATAGTTCTCTTTCTCTCTCTCTTTTTATCAATTTTTTTTTATATTTGGTAAACAATATCTTGGACTACGTTTCAAAAACATAATATATTATATATTATATTATCAAGTAAAATTTTCTTTGGAGAAGACATTTTGGAATGTAGCTTCGATAACACTATAAATTTTTTTTTTTCAGATATTGAGCGTGATTAAGGCATTATGCAGCATGAATGCTTGTCGTCACGAGTTGGAGCCGATAACCGGTGGTGGTTTTCAATCAGCGCGACCTCCCAGGGGACATGTAACCGGCTTTCGCGGTAACTTTAACACACCTCCAAAAATGATGCGGGGAGGTGGAGGTTACCGCGGTCCAATCTCGAATAACGAGTCTTACGGTGGGAATAGTGGCGGCTTTAATGATAATCGCAGCGGTGGTTACAACAGAGGAAGTTACAACAGGGGATATACCATGGGCAATCCACGCGGTCGAGGTGGAAACTGGAATAATAGTGGCAATCGTGGACGTTATTTTAATTAATATTTTGTTTACTAACTGTAATTACAGTGTTGCTGTTACACTTTAGAATGCAATTCAAGATTTATAATTCTAGACATTGATTTGAAGTGTCTTAATGTATTGCCTTCCTTTTTTTACTTTGATTGATAAAGGTGATACACTTCAAGTTACTGTCCAGAATTAGAAATCAGCACTATATTAGACTGAATTAATTGCATGGATGGTTCAATTTTTGTCTGGAATTTTTTATTTCTCTAAGAAATGTAGTGCCGAATTACCGTCTCTCTCATAACAATAAGGAAATTCCCTCTGATATAGAATGGAAACGAGACATGATTATACAATAATAGCGGCAATATGGAATGTGTTGGCTCGAGCTATGCTATCATAAAAGTTTGACTGAAAAAGGGATTAAGTTTTCAAAAATTTTACAATGTTTGCAAGCTTAATATATTTTTACTAAACACTTAAATGTATGTGATATGCAGAAGTCAGGAATGGCCAAGAGGAAGTCGGTGATCTTTATCGAACGATAGTTTCAAGGATCAGCTTAAAGATATCTATCTTGTAGGCATAGCATTTTTGTCAAAATGAAAAGTACCGTCATGTGAAGGGAAAGTACTTGAAAAAAGAAATCTAAATTGAACAATACAATTTCGTCGTTATTACCATAATTCTGGACGGAAGTTGAGTTGCTCATGTATATATGTAGGTTTAAGTTAGGTTGAATATATTGATATTATATTATTATATAATAGTGTATACTAAAAATGCATCCGGATTATTGAACCGAACTTAAAGACGAGCTGCGAGTTAAAGTTATGAGCGTCAACAAACATTTCTGTGATCCATACTGTAATTTTAATTTTTTTTTTTTTTCAATTGTTGGCGCCTATTTTTCAAGCAAGTCTTGTGAAGATTAAGACAGTCAGATCATGTTTTGTGGGATGTATGGAAACGTGATGTTTCTTTACCCAAAATTTACTCTTAGTAAGCACTTGTATCCTCGTTTATGCGAGAAATTTTGACTTTGGAAGCATCGCACTGAAGGAAATAAGATTGAGTTAATCGAGAAACATCTAATCCTCGAAGAGACTATCACAGGATCTTGATCCAAATTTATTATGGAGTTGTGACGCTTTATGTTGGATCGGAAGTCCAAACAAGGGAATCTCGAGAAGAAGAAAAAATAAACACTTATGTAGACTTCTGTGCTAGGGCAGGCGTGGAGTAAACTCTTCTCACCCTACTCAAAAGCTACTCTACCTGAAATCAGCAGTGTAACAATGATGTCAATTGTGGATGCTTTCACTTAATAATACAAATATTTTTCTATCTTTCTTGGTCATTCAAACATTCTGTGTTTCACGTGGCTTTATGTTCACAATGCTAAAAATTAGAATATCTCATCAATTAGAAATCTCAGATAGAGAGAAAGAATTTACTTTAAAGAAATAAATTATTACTTTAGAGAATTAAATTATTTAAATTCCATTAGAACAATTTAGTCATGTGATTATTGCAATTGATAATTTTTTTTATCTGAAATTTCAGATCAATTTCTAGCATTATGGCTTCAAGTATACATGTGATACCCAAGAATTGGCTCGAAGCTGCTCGTCTCTAGATTTGATTCGAGGTTTGGTTTAATAAGCTGGATGCATCTTAATATTATACTATACTAGTATACTGTATACTGCTATAATAATATATTATACTATTATATAATAGTATAATGCGATGACATTGTATCGAACATGTAATACAGTATAGATTCACAGTAATATAATTTGTTTACATGTAATACTTGGTTTTTTCTTTAAACTTGTATCACATGATATGATATTCTCATAATATGAAAACATCTTTATCTTTTCATATTTTCTGTTATAGAGGAAGAAGATCTTTAAATTATTATTGTATATGATATGATGATCAATAAATTGATATGAGCTCATCGAACTCTCTTGTCTAGAATGCTTTCAAGTAGTATTGGATCAATAAAAAATCATTCCTGTTTTTTTTAATTCGTATATATCATTGTAGCAAAAAAAAGATTCTTAATCGCTGGCGATCTCATTATCAGTGCGACGGCGTGATCGGTCGACCGATCGTGGTTGTGCCCAGTTGCGCCACGTAGATTCGTATCCATTCGTGTCAGTCAATGATAAAACGCGCTATCAACCATCTGTCCGAGTGCGATGGTTGCCGTCGAATGACGCCACGGCCACCTAACGGAAGTGAACCGAGAATAGGCGAAAGCAACGTCGTCGCTGATCGTCGCGGACGGGGATGTCGGGCATCTATTTCCGAACACGTTGCAATCGGGGTCGAAGGGGACAGCAAATCGCTGGATGGCAAGAAACAACTAGAAGAATTTGTGGGATATAAAGACTGGTTCCAACTGATTCTGTCCTAGTGTCCTGTCGTCGTCGTTTGACAGTTGTGCTTCGAATTCTGTGTTGATTTATTACGCAGAAAGAGAGAGAGAGAGACAGAGACAGTAAGTCGGCCGTTCGTCGTGTCGTGCGACTGTCACGCCGAGTGTTCGCGAAGGACTTAAAGAGAAGAATAGAAGGAAGAAAAAAAAAGCGTAATCTCCGTGGCGGTGGTTGTGAAACGTCACGCGCGACCGTCGGCAATCGGACTCCATACGTGCGCGCGTGCGACTCGTGAGTGGTGCACGAGGTGGACAAGGTGAGTCTACGACTGGTTCACGACGAGAGACGTGGAGAAACGCTGCGACAGGAAAGAGAAAAGAGGATGGCGATGCGCAGATAATGCGATGAGACACCGCGCCGATCGTTCGTCGAGTCGCCGTCCGCTGATCCTCGCGCAGCGAAACGACACGAGGCTGCTCTCGCGCGACATCCCGAACGGAGTCGCACGCAGGAGGTTATAAGCGGAGTTATGCGCCTGACGTTTGGCCCACCGAGGAACGTCAATCGCGGTGGACCGCTACCGAGCTGTTTTTCCGGCCTTTCGCAGGTCCGACGAATGGACGACGACGCGCCGACCAACGCGCTTAATGGTCCACGTTCGGAGACGCGCACCCCTTTGCACCCTTTAATGCCTTCGACGACGTCCCGTGGCCCAGGATCCGTTTAACTGGCTGTGAAAAGTGCAACGTAACTCGAGTCCAAAGAGTTGAGTAGTGCAATTAATCATTCTTTTATATCGTGTTGTTTGGCCAGATGCTATGAGATGTCTTGAGATATAAAAATGATATTTCCTTAGAAAGCAAAATGTTAGCACCAGCAATTTGCTAACAGACTTGGACAGAATATTGCAGTAGATTGGCATCAACTATATCTGTATCAAAATTCGTATTTTTCCAACGTCTGTCAGCAAATTGTCAGCAGAAACCAAATAGAATTCTGTTGTTTTGTAATCATTTAAATTATTATATTGTATTTAAATGCAATTATAGAATGACATAATTCTGTTTACTTTCCATTGGAAATTTGTTGTCAGATTGTAGCAGATTGATAAGACATAAGCTTAATATAGTTGTCAATTTGTTATAATATTCTATCTGAATCTGCAGACAAATTGCTGATATACTTCTAGATAACTATAATAAATCTGTCAAAAAGATTTTGCAAAGTACAATTACACTACAAATTTTGTCAATAAAATGTCAGCAGAAATCTAACAAAAGAGGGTAATGACAGATTGATTGTAGAAACCGAGCAGAATTTGTCATCCCGTAATTATTTAAATGATATGTTTCATTAAATAATTACAAATTACATGACTCTGCTTTGCCCAGATTTCAACAGAATATTGGCATCAATTGCAATCATATTCAACTCATATTCTAGTAAATTTACCGACATAATAACTGTTAACAGTAAACTGTCAGCAGAAACCTCATTCAAACAAAATTTCATTCTCTAGCCATGAAATATATATCATCTCATGATATATATTTCATGGCTAGAGAATGAAATTTTGTTTCTATGAAATGGTCGATGTTGCTTCTGTATTCAATTTGCTATCATATTTTATTAATAAATTTTGTTAAATTTTTCCTAGTATTTTGTTTATTTAATAAAATTTATGGCAGATACTTTGTAAAAATTTCAACAAATTGACTATTTAAACTATTATCATATTTTAAATATATTCATAAAGTACTTGAAACAATTAGATGCTGCTAACATGTTGGTAATAGAATTCTGTGGAAACAAAGTATGTTATTACTGAATCTTAATATACATGGAACTGAGCTAACAATAATGAATTTGCTCTGTTTAAATCTATTGCAAATTGTTGTACAATACTATGTTTTTTTGTATTATTGCTACAGGTATATAGATAGATAGATAGATATATAAAACACTGGTCAAAATGGATCAAGAAACGGTCTATGGCACGCATGAGGATAGCCATGTTGTCATGTCAGAGAAAGTGCAGTCTTTGGCAGGCAGCATCTATCAAGAGTTTGAAAAGATGATAGCGAGATATGATGAAGATGTAGTGAAAGACTTGATGCCTCTGCTAGTCAATGTGTTAGAATGTCTGGATATATCATATACTGAGAATCAAGAACGTGAAGTTGAACTAGAATTATTAAGAGAAGATAATGAACAGCTTGTCACACAGTACGAAAGAGAGAAGCAATTGAGAAAAGCATCAGATCAGGTAATTACTTTTTTTCAAATAAGTTACCTTAAAAATTTTTGATATATGAATAATAAATTTATATTATAATATAATGTGAATATGTTTATATCAGAAACTTCTCGAACTGGAAGATGTTTCCGAGGATGAGAGAAAGGAACTTCTGTCGAAAATTGATAGCTTGGAATCTATCGTAAGAATGCTGGAACTGAAGACTAAGAATTCTCATGATCACGGTACAAATGACGTTTCCAGTCTACCTGTTCACAGTTCTTCCCTTTACAGTAGAGTAGAAGATTTTGTTTTTTTGCGTTTTATGTTATTTATATTCATTCTTGTATATCACTCTCTTGTAGTGAGCGAAGAATATAGGATGCAGGTTTACTATGCATTTTTTATTATTTTGTTCATTAATTATTTTTTCAGTCATTCTTATATTTCGTATATGATTTTATTTAAGATGCTGTTATAAAAATTTATCGTCTGATAAATATCACTTTGTAATAGATATGTGTAATCATGTATTTTTTTTAGATTGTTCAAATGTTTGTTATTTAAATCATTATACTGATTACTTGCTTGTGCTAAATATATCATATGGTTATTACACGAACATGTGAAGCATGTTTCATAATGTCTAGTCCGTATCCAAAAATACGAATTGTTTCATATATATAGATTACGCTTACCATTAATAAACATTTATATTTTTTTTTTAGTTGGTCGGCTCGAGGAGAAGGAAGCCGAATTGAAACGCGAATATTCCCGACTACACGATAGATATACGGAATTATTCAAGACCCATGTCGATTATATGGAGAGGACCAAAATGTTGGTTGGTAGCACAGAAAGATTAGAGAGTGTATCTACCAGCCGTGCACCATCGCGGTTACCTTCCCTTGGACTTGCTCATATGTCACGTAGTTCCGGGCCGCTTAGTTATGGCTTTCAGAGTTTGGAAGCTAGTATAAATGCCGAAGATGTTCAAGAGGATATTGTATCAAATGTCGTTAACTTGAGAACCGAAATGTTGGATAGTAGCAGTGAGGCTGCTATCGAAACATCCGACAAAAGCCAATTAACTGATCAACCAGTACAAGAGAATAAGACTACAGCTATATCTAGACGTATGTTGCATATTTAATAATAAATTTTGTAAATTTTTATTTGAAATGTAAGATTTTCAGTTACGAATATATTTTTACAGACGAAAGTCCAGAAACGGAAGTTCCACCAACTTTAATAACGCCAACGACGCCGACCGCAAGTATAGAGAAGTTAGCAACTACGCCAAGTGGTAGAAGCAGGACTGAAAGAGAACAACGAAGCGGTAATACGTTGTATCAAGAACTAAGTTTTCAAGATGCTGATGCGCTAGGCGAAATGGACGAGGGCGCAGATATTACCGGTAATGTATCTACAGGAATATAATGTTAAAATTTGATTTTTTTTTGGAAAACTAAATTAGTATATTTACATTTTTAGGAAGTTTAGTACATCCTGGAGAATATGCTTCGTCAGGTATGTTTGATATATA